TGTGTGTGTGTGTGTGTGTGTGTGTCCGTTCTGTCCTAAATTCCCAGATTCCCCCATGAGGCCAGAGGAGGCGTTGTCCTCAGTTGTGGTCCTGCTGATGCAAACTTAGCTCCAGGGTCGCCTGTAGCGTCCAACAGCACTTCATTTTTTCTAAGCCATTCAAGACGATGTTGTTTCTCCAAAATCGCAGTGTAGTAAAGTCAAAATGTTAAGACGCAGAGACAGTACTTTACTCACGTCCAGCTTCTTCATTTATCATAAAAGTATCTGTTTTCCTTTATTGCTGTATTACTGCAGGAACAATGGATGAAGTATTGGCCTCATTGCAGCGTGGACAGATTCAGCTTAAAAAGGTCTCCTCTCCAAAGACAGCGTCCTCTGCTGGAGACACGAGGAGCACTCTGATGTCTGCCATCAGACTTGGAGTCGCCCTGAAGAAGGTGAGATGTTTTGAAGAGCAGAGATCCACACACAGCTAGGTTCACATATCAGCCAGGCCAATATATTGACTGATCTCAGCCTGTTGCACAGATACTGTATGTATGGTCATCACAAGAACTCTGAAGGTTAGTTTTTCTTTAAAAAACTAGCATATAGTCCTGGGACGATGCAAACATTTAATTTCAAGATTACCCGAGCCATAATAATTCTGACTTTCGACAAAATGCAAATAATCATTAAAGCATACTTAAAACATCCTCACCATAAATCATACTTTACCTTACATTTTGTCATGAAACACATTTTTTATTGCATGACAGACAACTTTATTTCTCATTGAAAGTCTTTCTTAGTTGTAAAACGTTAAATAAGGTAATAAGAAATCAATACAACAAAAAAATATATATATTTTGTGTGTTTCTTAGAGGATAATTCCTACATTTCTTAAATCAGGCTCTCATTCTGCAACTCTACCATTTATACAAGCTGTTTTGTCACTGGTGTTGATATTCACAATTATCCTGCAGATTGAACACACTCAACAAGTTATTGTGAGTGTTTTGTATTGAGTTTTGTGATCAAATCCTATATTTTCCTATGCCGACTAGCAAGTGTAAACGCTGACCTTTATAGGCAGCAGCAGACACAGCAGTCGTAACGTTAATAACCGCTGGAATTTATGTAGCTGCATCAGATCAAAGCTATCTTCAATGTTATTTTTTACACCAGAGGCCTGTACTACGAAGCTGGTTCAACCTAACCTGGATATGTTTGAGTTAGCCGGTTGGCCTAATCCAAAACATACGCCCTCTTGCTAAACTGTACTACGACGCGGGTTATAAAGTGGATCGCTCAAGCCGTCTTCATAATAAAAATTCGTTTGTGTAATTCAACTGCTTTGTGAGGCTCCTGTTTACACAATTTCAGGTCTAGCACAGAATTCTCGTCCCGTCACTATAGTATTTGGGCACAATTACAATGCGTAAGTTTTGTGAAAAAGAAAAATGGTCGACATAAGTTTGGAACGTCCACCGTCGATACACCCGAAAACCTAGGACCTATTCACAAAACTCAGTACCTACAAATTTCAAAATGAAAGAAGATACAGATTATAATATTCAACTGAAAAGTAAGTCCTTCATACTGCGACACGACAGCATTGCGAAGAGTTACAAACACTAACCCAGCTATACGAGGTCTATGTGGGAAAGTACACTTGGCGTGGATTGCATCATATCCTGTAGNAACTTAAAGGGCCCATGCCATGGCCATTTCTACTGATCATAATTCCATTGTTGAGGTATACTAGAATTTGTGCAATTTTCCAAACTCACATTGGTTTCTCATACAGCGAGAAACCAATGTGAGTTTGGAAAATTGCACAAATTCTAGTATACCTCAACAATGGAATTATGATCAGTAGAAATGGCCATGGCATGGGCCCTTTAAGTTTATTAGAGAATAACCCCTGGAGATGCGTTTCAAGGAAGTCCTCAGCACAAACATGGAAGTCACCAAACATTGAAACACTTAGATAATACATACTTTCAAAACAAACCAATTAAGGCAAACAGGTCATCAAGGTCATGCACATAAAGAAATACATATAAGGTCTCTCCTACCGTCCCTTACCACACCATAAAATAACATGTCAAAGTAGTGTTTGTATAGACTTAATATAAAGACAATTACAAACAATAACAAGTATGTTAGGTAAGAAATATAGCAGTCATGGAAAAAATGAATTTGTAGGCAAAATACTCCAGTCTGATGGTGCCTTGACTAAAAGCAAGTCTCCGTCAATGCAAGAATTTAAATATGATCATCTAAAAAAAATTATACAGCACCTGTTAACATTACACGCTCCTTGAACGCTTTCTGTGTTCACTTTTGTTTTTAAAATACTTTGTTTTTTCTACCATGGTTTGTTTACTCTTCTTAATAAAGTGTGCTTGCCTTCTGATTTAATATATCTAAGTATAGCAATATTTAAGTTTCTTTTATTTGGCTTTTATTCTCCACTGTATCACTGCTGCTGTAATGCTGCACATGTAAATATAGGATTTCAGATTCAGATTCTGTCATATTACTTTCTTGACACTCTCTAGATATGTATCTCCTTCAGGTTAATATGCATATACTGTATTTACTGTTTAAAATAAACACCCCGGCTGCTGCTGTAACACAATACCTCACAGTTTTGGATCTATAACTATTTATCTAATGATTGCCATTCAAGACAGGTCGTCCCTTAACAATATAATTTGATGTATTTCTGTCAAAATCCTGGAGAGATTGTCCTGCAGCTGTACTTTTTCTGTTGTCATATTCCTCAAGAGTTGCTAAGCTCAAAGTTGAAATGTATAATGATGACATGCGGAGAAAGAGACATATTCAGAGCTTTTTGAATGCTTGTGTTGCTGCTCCTCTGAGACTCAGTGAGTGACGGCACTGCCTCTCCACACCTGACACTCTGCACTGAACACTCGCTGAGACCTGTGGCTATTCATCAAGCTGTCAGCAACAGCAGACATCCATCATATACACACACACACACACACACACACACACACACACACACACACACACACACACACACACACACACACACACACACACACACACACACACACACACACACACACACACACACACACACACACACACACACACACACACACTACGACTACGTACCTACGTACGTACGTACGTAGTAGTACGTACGTACGTACGTAACGTTACGGTACGGTTAC